TGATGCCTGCCAAATGTCAGTCTGATCATTCTTTTTTGAGGTGACCCTTTGGATATACAGGGGTCAGGGAGCTGCTTGAGGAGGCGGTCTGTACTTTATAGGAGCTCAAGTGCTGAGCTGTGAGCTCCATTGATCATTCAGGGCTGTTAGGCAGGTATGTTTAAGTCTGCTGCAGCAGAACTCATAAAACCCGCTTTTTTTCCTCAGATGCTCTGTCTCAGGGAGTTAGTGCTTTCTTTATGAGTATCTGTTGCACTGTCCTGCCCAGGTAGGAGGCAGTCTAGTCACTATTTGCCTGCTGAGGCTCTGCCCTGCTTCTGTGGGCTCTACCCTACTGTCTTCGGCTCTGCCCTGTTGCCGTGGGCTCCGCCCTGTTGGTGGAATCTCTCTGTTATGGCGGGTTGCCTCAGCAACAGCAGGCTGCATCAGCAGTGGGAGTGTACCTCAGTAGGGGTGGAATGCCTCAGTAATGGTGGATGCCTCTCCCCTGCCGAGCTGCACCATCCTGGGTTCAGCTGTGCCCGCAGTGAAACTCTCAACCCCAAGTGTTTCGAATTGCCATTTTGTTTGTCCCTGTGGGGGTGGGACCTGACGAGCCTGATCACCTGGCTCCCTGCCTCAGAGCCCCCCCTTTTTTTTTTAAGTTGAACCGTTGACTCTCTCCCAGGTGTTTCAGTCGCCTGCTGATAGGGCACCGGGATCTGTGTGATTTCCTGTGCAGCGACCCACTGTGCCAGCTCAAACATCACTTCCCAGGAATGTCCTGGTCTAGCTCACTGTCCAAGTCCCATTTAATAAGATGGATATGCTAATCTGCCCTCCCAAATCTCAGATTGCCAGTTTAACAGGGCACCCAGACCAGTGCGTTTTGTGCAAAGTGCCGCTGCACTGCGGGGCCAGCCAAAATGGCCATGCCAGCTGAAACAGCTGTGCTGGAGTCCCATGTCTTTCCTACACCTGGGAATTTCCCCATTCTGTGGGCAACAAAGATCCATCTGGGAATGCAGCTTGCACTCACCCTCTGCGGCTTCACTGAGAGCTGCCATCCTGAGTTGCTCCTACTGCACCATCTTCCATGACCCACCCTTTAATCCCAGAATAATTGTCTCAGTTACCAGACTGCTGCAGTATTGCAGTGTTTGTATTCAAATAACCCTCATTTTACTTAATAATGGCCCCAAAGTGCAGGCTAGACTAATTTGGTTGGCTTGGACTTTAAAAAATAATATCACTTAATGCCATTCAGTGATAAAAAATAATGAAATCATGTCTTTTGCAGCAATATGGATGGAACTGGAGGTCATTATCTTAAATGAAACAAATCAGACACAGAGAGACAAATATCACATTTTCTCATACGTGGGAGCTAAATAATGTGTACACGTGGATATAGAGAGTGGAATGATAGACCATGGGCACTCAGAAAGCTTAGAGGGTGAGAGAGGGGTTGACAATGAGAAATTACTTAATGGGCACAATTTATGTTACTCAGCTGATGGTCTGATGGATACCCTAAAAGCCCTGACTTGCCAACTATACAATCTATGCATGTAACAAATTGCACTTGTACCTCAAAACTTAAAAAATAAAATAAAATAATAAAGTGAGTTAGCTTGTCCCCAGTACATTTAGTCATAATTAAGCATAGTACCTAAAGAATGCTTCTAAGTAATAATATGATTCACTTGCAATTAGCACAATGTACATGCTGGGTTAAATATATCTTCTATAATTACATTTACCTTCCCAATTTGCCCATGAATTTTTTGGAAGATGTCATTTTTTTCTGCCTATGTCCTGAATTATATTGCATAGGTTTTCTTCTAGGGTTTTTATGGTTTTAGGTTTAAGTCTTTAATCCATCTTGAGTTAATTTTTGTATAGGGTATAAGGAAGGGGTCTAGTTTCAGTTTTCTGCATACAGCTAGCCAGTTTTCCCAACACCATTTATTAAGTAGGGAATCCTTTCCCTATTGCTTATTTTTGTCAGGTTAGTCAAAGATCAGATGGCTGTAGATGTGTGATGTTATTTCTGAGGCCTCTGTTCTGTTCCACTGGTCTATATATATCTGTTTTGGTACCATTACCCTGCTGTTTTGGTTACTGTAGCCTTGTAGTATAGCTTAAAGTCAGGTAGCAGAATGCCTTCAGCATTGTTCTTTTCGCTTAGGATTGTCTTGGGTATACAGGCTCTTTTTTGGTTCCATATGAAATTTAAAGTAGTTTTTTTTCTAATTCTATGAAGAAAGTCAGTGGTAGTTGATGGGGATAGCACTGAATCTATAAATTACTTTTGGGCAGTATGACCATTTTCACAATATTGATTCTTCCTATCCATGAGCATTGATAACTTTCCCACCATTAGAGATGAGATAACATATTTTCCGCCTAGTATAGGAGCAGGTTAATGGCACCCAGGGGTATTCTGCAGATGATGGACCAGGGTGGATGAAGGCAGTATAGATATGGCTTGTGGGTTGTGCACCCATAAGTATTAAAAGGCATGATAATAGCACACCACAAGCTAAAACTGGTAATATAGGATGGCTACCAGGACAATGTAATATATTCTATCTCTTCAGGTAACCAGTGGAATGTGATAGTAATGTAACCAATCTCTTCAGGTAACCAGTGATACATGACTGTGATGGCAGAGTAACTCTCCATGTGGGGACCTACCCCAACCTTTAGGATGGCTGTGGGCATGTGGCATCCACAATTGGCCTTACTTACCCTATAACTGGAGTGGTAGATGCACCTGGGGCATCCTCATTTGATGGGACACACTGGGTTCAGTTTAGACACCATTCTTACTAACTAGGAAAGTGTAAAAGCCAGGAAGTATCGAAAGCATGCATCCTGGTGGTTTTCCTCTTTGGCCACTTTTGCCATTCCTCTTCCTGCCTCCCAAGCATTGACAAGAGACATAGAACTGCAGGTTGAGGCCCTGGCTAAACATAGGGCTGCAGCCTTTAATGATACTTGCCATGATATTACTCTTCTCACTGAAGAAACTGCCCACAACAGATGCATTACTGCAAAATTGCATGGCCCAGGACATCTTAACTGCCTATCAGGGCAGAACCTGTGTACTAATTAAAACTGATTTTTTTTTACATATATTTGATTACTCTCGCAATATAACACAGGTCATGTTGGCCCCAGATACCCACATTTCTGCTATAGAATCTCTATCTTATGACCCTGAAACCACATGGTTTAATCAACTCCCAAGCACTTGGAAAAACTTTCTATATAGTATGATTATTGCTACAATCATTTTTCTTTTTTGTTGTAGTAGTTTGTATTGCTGCTGCAACATCTGGTTGCAATGTTCCTCTGCATACCCTGGCCCAAGGAAATTCTCAGAAGAATGGTGTTATTAGAATGTAAAGGCTATTCAAGGGTGTGCTGGTGTGGAGGGTATGGCAGACATACCTGGCAGCAACAACTTAACTTAATACCTTGAGAATGACCCTAAAGTCAAAGAAGAATGTATGCTTGGAGTTCTGACCTAAGGATTGGGAGTGGCCAACCTGAAGATCCAGCCCTTATCTGTGAAGGACATTTGACTCCCCAGACCAAGGTTAGAACACAGGTCATACCGGGGATTGAGGTCCTTGTTTCGGATTAAATGGAGATTGTTCGGTGGAGGGTTCTAAGTGAAAATGCTATATGAACTGCATGCTTTTTAAATATGGTAACCGTTCACCTGTCCAGCCACTGCCACTGTATGTTAAGTTCCCCTAAAAAAACCTGTGTCATGTTAGCTGTCTTCAGGCCTCTTCTCCAGCCTCTCAGATACATTGCCATCCTTACTGGAGTCAATAGGGGTCCAGGACGACAATTTGTCATCTGTGCAAAACATTTCCCTAATTCTCTTCCAGCACCATTTCTAACCTTGCTGCTAAAATGAAAGTTCATTTTAAAAAAAAAAATTTTTGTTGAATACATATAAATTTAAGAGGTACAAATGCAGCATTGTGACATGGATGTATTGCAGAGTGGCATGGACTTCTACTTTAATACATGTTTTCTTTCCTGTCTAAAGACCATGGTTCACTGAACCCTATAAGCAGAAAACTCGTAGTATAGGCTACTTACTGAAGATTGAGGATACCTTGACCTCGGACCCTCAGATGGTGACCTCATGTGTGACCTTGGTAAACTCTCAGGACCTCAGCTGTAGAGTGAGGGCATAGGCTGACATATTCTCCACAGTCCCTTCCCGGACTCTACAAATGCAATAATTAATTCCAAATAAATTACAAAGATAATAGTTGCAATACATCCTTGAAGAGGCTTACAATCAAGGTAGAAGTTGAGTTTGGATTGGAAGGATGAGGAGGGCATTTCAGGTGAATGACGAGACACCAAAACCAAGGCAGGAAAGCCCAGGTCCTAGTCAGGGGAGAGTGACCACACCAGTGAGCAGGGATCTGCCTTCTGTGTGGTCCCTGCTCACATGAAAAACCACAAGCCTGCCTTCAAGTGAGTCATAGAAGGAGCTATCTGTGAGGCAGGTGACTACTGGTCTGCACTAGGGTAATGCTATTAGCCTGCTACCATCATGCCCACGTGCATTAATAAGGAAAGTCATTGCTTGAGTGGTGTTGATGAGAGTCTTTGAAAACAAGAAATAACATAGTAATTTTAGCACCAAAGGGCAAAGTGATTAGACACTAATCTAGTTTAGAAAACACATTCTTTTCTTTTTTATGGGTTAGGAATATTTCAAGGGAAAATTAGTCGGAATTAAATCCAATGTCTAATTTGGTAAGGATAAACAATAAAAGACAAGGAAGGAATATTTGTGGTGTATGTACATGAATAGGTATGAGGTGAAGAGTGACCAAAAATACCAGTCGTCAACGTTAAATCTTCACTTAATTGGCCAGAAGAGGCACAAGAAAAATGACCGTGTGCCCAGGGGTCATCATCACCTGGCCAGGGTATATAAAGAGCCCAGAGGGGGAAGAGGACATTCACACCTGAGAACAACCAGCTCCTCTCAACAGCCCTCCCCACACCAGCCTCAGACAACACCATGTACGGCTCCTGCTGCGGACCCACCTTCTCCTCCCTGAGCTGCGGGGCAGGCTGCTGCCAGCCCTGCTGCTGCCGCGACCCCTGCTGCTGCCGCCCCGTGACCTGCCAGACCACCGTGTGCCGCCCAGTGACTTGCGTGTCCCGCTGCACGCGCCCCATCTGCGAGCCCTGCCGCCGCCCAGTGTGCTGCGACCCCTGCTGCCTGCAGGAAGGCTGCTGCCGCCCCATCACCTGCTGCCCCACGTCGTGCACCTCTGTGGTCTGCAGGCCCTGCTGCTGGACCACCACCTGCTGCCAGCCTGTGTCAGTGCAGTCCCCCTGCTGCCGGCCCCCCTGCGGCCAGCCGGCCCCTTGCAGCACCACCTGCAGGACCTCCCCCTGCTGCTGAGACCCCACTGTCCTCACAGAACAATACACTGGAGCCTAAACATTGATTTGATGTTTTAATAAAGTTAAAAGAAAAACATATTTTTTTCACAAGGTGACAATAGTTATTTTTACATCTTACCATCTGGATACAGCCTGATATAAGCAGATGTTCATTACCATGCTCAGCCAAATTTCAGGTGTCTACATCAGCCTTAGTCGTCATGGATAGTAAATTGACCTTTAAGAATCTCTGGAGTCACTGGGAGGCTGAGGCAGGTGGATCACGAGGTCAGGAGATGGGAGATGGAGACCAGCCTGGCCAACATGGTGAAACCCTGTCTCTACTTAAAAACACAACACATTAGCTGGGTGTGGTGGCATGTGCTGTAATCCCAGCTACTCAGCAGGCTGAGGCAGGAGAATCACTTGAACCCAGGAGGGAGAGGTTGCAGTGAGCCAAGATTGCGCCACTGCACTACAGCCTGGGTGACAGACCGAGATTCTGTCTCTAAAAAATAAAGAAGTAAAACAAAGAAACAAAAAGAATTCCTGGAGTGGACTTTGCAAGCAAATTCTACAATCTGATGGTTTTTGCTGCTTAAACTGTCACCATTGCCAATAAACTAATTTTTCCTGGCATAGCAAACTGTCCTGCTCCCTAATTTGTTCATTAGTGTATGTTTATTAGTGTACACAGATAAGCAAGATTTTGGAATCTGCACAAGGGAACCAAAGCTCAACCTAAGCAAAACTTTATCCATAGAAATCCCATCCATTCAGTCATTCAGGAACTGTTGATCAAGAGACTTCCAATTGACAGATGCTGCCTGATTAGCGATGAACAAGCTACATGCCTTGCATCCAAGGATCTTATGGTCTGATGGAATAGACAAAAGGAAGTACAGTGGTAATGAAGAGAGGTACAAGAAGTGGGAATAGCATATGCCAAGCCCAGAATGGCCACTGGCAGTAAACTGACCAGCACATCGCATCTCATCTTCTTACCATGGTTCCTAGAGTAGCGTTTTTCAAAGTGTGGCTCATGCATCATCCACACTAGACTCTCTTGTAATAACTTATTTAGATGCACATTCTTAGGCCCCAAACCAAACCTAATGAATCAAAATATCTGGGAGTGGGGCCCAAGACTGTTTTTTTCTATCACTTCTATGTAATTATTTTGCATATTAGAATTTCAGGACCATTATTTTGGAGGAAGACCAGGATTTGAGCTTCTTGAGGGCTTAACAAGCATGGCCTGGAAGCCTCCCAGGAACAGTCACTAGAACAAGCAGCAATGAAGACACCCAAAGTTAAGAAAAAGGGGTAATAGAGTAATACATCTGAAACAGCACCTGCTAAACTGTAATCAGAAGAATCAATTTGGCAGAAAAATGAACATAACCGAATGTGCAAAATGACAGTATTTTTAGCTTGTCATAGGTGGAATAAAATGACAACAACAACAAAAAAAGAGAGACAAAAAGGAAGAGATGAGGGATAAATAAAAAGCGAAGAGGGGAGGCAAGGCAATGAATGAAAAGAAGAGTGAAGAGGAAGATGATGGAGATGACAAGGAAGACAGAAGAGCAAAAGAGGGAGGCACTGGGATTCCTTGTACAAGTATTTGAAGATGTTACAGGACAGCTAGACTAGTCCTCAGATTACCCACATGGCTAGGAAGCATGTGTTCATCAGGCAGTCTGCTGCCTGTCCTTTGCCCATCTCTGTAGATCCATGTCTCACTGCTCCCCACTAAGATTCAATTCAAGCAACAGTGACCTTATATTTGCAGTTCCAAATGTTTTGCTTTTCCTTGTGTTCTTTTACTTACCTGTTCTTTCACACACTTTCTCTTCGTCTTCACCACCACTTAACTCTGATTCATTTCCAAGATTCAATTCAGTCTTCTCCAGTAGTCATGTTCCAACCCCTGTATCCCACAAACACATGTGCAAATGCATACACACCTGTGCACTTACACACACACACACACACACACAGAAGTTAGGGGCTCCAAGCAAGTTCCAATAACTTAACTCCCTCCCCATAAGTCATTGTATTGAGATTATATATATTTTTTGCCTCCAAGGAAGGGACCACAGTTTATTTTGGCTTCCAATACTGAGCTCAGCGTTTAATACATAGCTGGTACTTAATTTCTATTTGTTTCGTTGTCAAAATAAATAAGAAGAAAATTGTCCTTACCACAAGAATTTTAAAAGGTAGATATTTATTTAAAGCAAAAAATTTCATCACTAGTGTAACTTAATTAACCTCTCTGACTCTCTGGTTTTCTCATTTTCAAAATGGGATGGTAAGTGACATTTACCAATGTAGATTGCTGGGGAAGTTAAATCACTTTTACAATTTTTCATGGATGCAAGATGCCTGGCACACAGTTAAGTGTCCAGTACCATTCATTTATATTCCTTGTCGTGTGTTTGAACATCACTGTATCGAACAGGCTCAAAAGATGTGCTGTCTACTACATACCAACTCATTGAGAATGAGAACAAATTCGGGGGAGGGTTTTACTAAGCACACTTAAACAGCAGTTTTTTTCAGGATAGTCCATATCTATTGGTAGAAATAGATTTTCTAATAAGTATAATAAAGAAGGCAAAAATAACACACCAGAACAACTTGGCTTCAGATTAAGGCTGTCTCAGAATGAAAATGATCTTTAAAAATTCATTCTACAAGTCCACAGGAGTGAGTCCTAGATTACAGGATTTATGAATAGGAGTACAGCATCAGGAAAAAGAAGGACTGAGCAAAATATCGGTATCTAATGGTTAGACTCTTCCTTTCACATTGAACCATCCAAGGTAATTAAACAACTCAAAGCTGTATAATAGACCCCAAAAGATTACTTTGCCTTCCTTGACATTAGGCAGATGAATATCTAGAAAACTCAGATGAGATTCTTTTTGAAATTCTAGCAACAAATTCCCTAAGTACCCTAATCATTTAGTTTTGCTGTCTTTCACAACTAAACTATTTTCTATTTTCTAATTATATCTAATTAATTATATCCCTCTCTCCATCTTCCACATTTGTATAGATCTTAGAATAAACTAGCCTCTGAAGAACATCAGACACCAAAGACTGTCCATTTTACAGATGAGGAAACCTTGCTAAGGGTAAGTCATTGACTCTAAGTTAGACAACTATAAAATGGTGGAGAAAGGACTGGAATCCTTCTTTATCTTCTCCATTCTCCTCCTGCCCTTTCCCCGTCAATCTTCTCCATCCCATCTTTGACGTTTATGATTGGAGGATATTTTTAAGATTATTTCTGAGAACAAAGTCCTTAAGGAATGTATATCCTAATTTCAGAATTTTAATAAATTTCCTAACATCTACTGGCTCCCAGACTAATTGCTAACAAAATACAATTCATAAAAGTATTAAGATGAGGGACTGGCCCACCATCACAAAAGGTCACCAACACTACATTATTTTTCAGTCCAACTACAAAAATCTCCCAAGTTATTTTCACTGTGCTTAAGATGTACTTGTTTTTATCCTGGTGATTTTGCACTTGTAGAATATGTGAAACTTGAATAATATGACTGAAAAAGTTCATGTGATAAAGACCAGAGACACACCTCTTGTCCAATAGCTTAGAACTATTTGTGTGCTACAGCAAGGGAGACCACATGGCCGAGGACAATGGGGCATCCTCCCAAACTAAGGAGGAGAAATATTATTATAAAACGTTGAGGAAGGGTGGAGTTTTGGTAAAATTACATGATATAGTGTTTTCATGGGCTCAAGGAAAAACAGGGCTGTGTATAAAAAATAATTAACACCAGACCTGGGCTGTGAAATAGACCTAGGGCCTCTTTCACTGGAAGCTGCACAGTTGAGACAAATGGGGAATGTTGTGTTTGAAAGTCACTTGTCTGAAATCCTGTACCTGGGTTGGGTACTGAGGTTGCTTTCCTGTCCAAACGACTTAGATCCTGTCCAGGCAAGAGTGGAATGTTTTCTTCTTACTAATGAGGCGTGGAAGAGCAAGGTTTCTGATACAGCCTATAATTTTAGAAAACAGTATTTCTTAGTAACGTGTTTTCTTGTTAGCAGAAGCAGTGGATTCACAGACATATTTCTCTTTTTAGTTTGGCATCTCTGTATATGTTCCAGAACAAAGAGCAGTATCCTAAACCATGTATCAAGTGAGTACTTATTTCACTAAAGGGAATAGAATGTTTAATAACCACTGCTACACATTGTCTATTTTGAGTAACTCTGAGCTGAAAAAGACTAGGAGACCTCACTAATGTTTCTTCTCCACAGAAGACCTGTGTGTGGTATCGTTAAAGATGTGCTACTCTTTGATACTATGACTTTGGAGGAATTCATTTCATAAATCTGGTCTTCCAAAGTGATGGACTGTGATGGACCGTAGACTCAATGGCCTTCAAAGATCGGGGATACAGTAAACCAAAGGGTATATTTTTTTAAAAGCACAAACAAAACACACCCCAGAGGCAAATTTGTGCTAAAGGACATCAGCATTCCTCAGACTCTGTTGTCTTTAATCTGCCTTCCAACTCTAAATGTATTTTCTGTATTCCTATTCGTCTTAGCTATGGCTGGAAAAGACAGAGCTATTTTGTCAGTCACCGGCTCACCTAAATCCCCTGGTTTTTGTTTTCTTTTGTTTTTGCTTTTTTGGTTTTTTTTGAGACAGAGTCTCACATTATCGCCCGGGCTGGAGCTCAATAGGGCAATCTTGGCTCACTGCAACCTCACCTCCCGGGTTCACGTGATTCTCCTGCCTCAGCTTCCCGAGTAGCTGGGATTACAGGCATGTGCCACCATACCCGACTAATTTTGTGTTTTTAGTAGAGATGGGGCTTCACCATTTTGGTCAGGCTGGTCTTGAACTCCGAACTCAGGTGATCCACCCGTCTCAGCCTCCCAAAGTGCTGGGATTACAGGCATGAGCCACGGAGCCCAGCCAGGATTTCCTTCTTTTATGACTAGTCATATTCCAGCGTGTGTGTGGACTACAGGCGTGCACCACCACACTTCGCTAATTTTATATATTTTTAGTTGAGACAGGGTTTCAGTACGTTGGCCAGA